AAAAAAAAAAAAAAAAAAAAAAGGGCGTTTCAGAAGAAGCTGGGCGTAACAGTGACGCATAACGAACGCATTTTCTAATGCGTAACTGTTACGCGCAGCAATACCTGTAACAAATTATTTGCTGGGAGTTAAAATCCACTGAGCTATAACTGAATACCACAAACAAATTTGCATGCTAATATTTCAGCAAGGAAAATACTGCGTTCTGACAAAGGTGATTATAATGATGCGGTAATTTAAAAAAATGAGTCAATTGGTTCGAGGAGTTCAAAAGGACGAAGGTTGGAAGACGTTTGACCATCGATCCTATAGAATTCCAAGAATGTGTGAACAACTACTGTGAAAATTATGAATTATACAGATGGGAAATGATTCTTCGAAATGCCTGCATAGCAAAAGATTTGCTGAAGCCAATACAGTGCATGTTTTCTAAACTCAACCGAGTTATTCTTATAGAATTTTGAGAATTTTTATTGTTAAAATTCCCAGCATTGAATAATTTTATTTCCTCGGTTATTCCTTTATTTCATCTCCGTATGCATATTTTTATTTTTGATGCTCAAATAAAAAAGGTTGATTTACTGAATTGATAAATTGATTAATGTAGCGCTACTCAGTACAAAAAGAGGGAGGCAGTTATTTCTTTCAACCAAGAAGACCAATCAAATATTTGAATTACAGTATTTAAAAATACACGCAAGAAATTTTAAACTTTTTAATTCGTCGCGATATTTTATTTTGTATTGAAATAAAGGTACAGGCATATCAATTTTTTCATAAATCAAATGCAGACTTCTTCGAGAAGAACTCACTAACATTTCTTTACTATAATAATAAACTTACACTAATTAGCCCTATTGTCGACGTCATTGTTGTACTGGTACATTAGTTCAATAAGGCTGAAGAAAAGGAAGACCCTACTTTAGTTATTCGTGGTTAGATGGCGCACTTAAGCAACTTTATGACGTCCACATTGCAAAATAACTGGTCGGAATACACAGCACATGATGTAATTAAACAAAAAGAATTTCCGATTTCAGTTTCATTCCATATATCATGGATTATTTACTGGTAAAAGAGCGAGGGGTTATTTCCTCAATTTTAGAGAACGATGTTTCATTTAGGATCAGGCTTTATTTTCAAATTAAATTGATATTATAGTGACGGATGAAACTGTTTCAGATACTCCGCCAGGTGCATAACTTAACCTATTCAGGAAAAAAACTATCTTTTGATTTACTTTATACTGATAATAATGAAATCATTTAGTATCAATACCTTCTCAAAGAGGTGATATCATACAATTTTCTAAATAGCTAAAGATCCCTGGATGAGAAAGAAAAAAAAAATGGGGTTCTCGGAGTAGGTAATCTTGGCCATTTGATGAAATGGCATGCGGAACAAAAGCCAAGTATTGCCATTATATTGCCATTAAAAGGCGCGAAATCTGTTCTGAAATACTCTCCTAATAAATGAATTAACCTTCAAAAAACTGTTTGATCCCTAAAAGGTCACTATATAAAAAGGTACTCAGGCCGAAACTAAACTGCGAAGTATGCGAACAGATAATGGTCCAAATGATGAATAAAAAAATGCTAAGTGGCACGAAGGTATCATCCGAGTATTGTCAACTACCGATCGAAAATCTCTGCATGTATTTGAAATTGTTCAATTATTTTCGGTTTTTTTCTTCGTTCCAAGATCACGTCAAAATCACGATCTTCAAGGTCATTATTCAAGCAATATTCTGAAGACATTCTGCTCCAGAGAGCATTTATTCAACCATAAAATTTCTCTAGACCTTTTCGTCTGGATAAAGTGTTAAGTTCATCATTTTTACGATAATTTGTGGTCATTTTGTCGGAATAATTGAATTTCACCGAAATTAAGTCCAGAACGAAGCCTTGTGGAGGCATTGTAGAGGATTAACATTGCTCTATTAATTAAGAGTGCATTAACGCATTTCATATTGTGTGGATGAGTTCGAGCAGATGAAATATTTTAAATTATTGTTTGATGAGTGAAAACAAACACCAAAATTGCTTTCTCAGCAAACCATGGATGTAATGTCATTTAGAGATCAAAGGCAATGCGGAGAAAGCGGAAAAACATGGTTTGCGTTACTAATGAAAACTTTTTCGCATTTTCCAAATTAAACCAGAAAATATTTCCCAATTTTTCCTGTGAGGAAGAATTGATATGTACCCACTCTGTGTTGATCAATCATCAGCCTGGATTTAAAACTTGCATCTCAAAGGCGAATTGATGACGAGTCAATTTTTGATACTCAAGATTCAAAAAATCTGAAATACCCAAACATTTTCATGAACGTGTTAATTCTGAGTTTTCTGGAGAAAATAAGAAAGCGGCTCGACGCTGAAAAAAATTCGGGAATCATCTGCGTCGAGTAGCTATATTGCAATATTAAAAACTGAAATTCTTACGGATTAAATCAATTGCTGAAAGCTTCAATTTTTTTTCAGGAAGCAGAAAATAAGATTTGAATCGGCCTTGTTTACCACATTTGAGCAAAAAGTCAAATGAAAAGATTGAGTATTATAGCTCTCTCATCGACTTGAAATCAATTCCTGGAGTCAAAAGAATATCGAAGTTCAATGTTCAAAATATAACCCACAGTAAAAATTGTGAAATCCAATTTAACTTCAAAAATAAGCAGCTTTTATTTGTCGAATCTGAATAAAAATCAGCAGCTAAATTTTCATTAATGCTTGATTAAATCACTTGTTCGAGTAAATAAACCCCTGAAATCACGTTATTCGATCATTGGCAACTCTTTTCATTATATGCCTCCAACAATAATATGAAAAATAGAGAGAGAGCGCACGAGAAAAACTGTCTCTATTATTTGAACTCTGTAAAATTCCCCATTGATAAAATCAAAAAAGTCGGAAATTTTTCAACTTCCGTGTAGGAAAAAATTACTGGTAAATCATCTGTGGTTTGGTCACGGTTTCCATTCAGAAATTCAAGAAAATCGCTTTAATGTGTTCACGGGTTAGATTTTTATGATTTAAAGCCATCGTTTTGGTCTCAAAAAAACGGAAAATCATAAAATGATGTGTGGAAATTTTTAAACCTCTTCAAATCCGCGTTACCTTGATATTTAACACTGATCTCGAAAATTGCGTGAATCCGCCTTCGAGGCAATTCACCTTTTTAGTGACTTGTATTCCCACATTGCCGCGAGTACTTTTGAATTATTGCAAGAAAAAATTAAGGTCATATAGTATAGATGTCTCTACATAAGCGTGAGGTTAATCGAGGTTTGTTGTGATGATTTTTACTTTTTTCGAGAGAAACTTGACATAGAGCAGATTGCACTTTTTTCAAGGATAATGAAACTCGTGATTTCCTCGCATAAATAATTTTAATCCCCTGGTCGGGAAGAATTAGCAGCGTTCTGGGAATTTTTTTTTGAAAATATACACTTTATACAGTACTTGAGAAATATGGTCCAGAAAAATGAACCATGAAATTAATTTGTTCATTTTCAGGCTCATCTAGTTCATCGTGGAATTCTTCTGCGTACTTCGTTTTCAGACTGAAAATACAGTCAAACGTTGAAACATTTTTTATTGCAGAGGATGAATGTTTCCAAAATTGAATCCCTCTCAGAAAATTTAATGTTTTCCATAAAATAACAGTCCCTTGTACCAAATTCCATTAAACATTTTTTTAAAGCAACCCGTTCCTGAATGTTGCGATTATTTCTTCCTAAACTGTTTGTTGGAGACTTGAATAAATCTTCAAAGCAAGTTCAAATTTATGAATTGTTGAAATCGCGTATTAAAATCGTAATGAAATTTTGCAGGATGATCGAGGTGGAGGAGCAATTAAAAATACTGAAGACTCATTACAGTAAATGATTTTAAAATTACACGCCTCCCGAAGTCATTATATTTGACGCGTTGTTAGAAAATTTGTCACTCGTTAATTCGAAAAAGTGGGACTGCTGAAATGTACTTTGTAACACTTTTTTTTGTTACACAATGATATTGTATTTTTGATTTGAAATTTTCAAGGGATCAGTCTGAAGACCACGATTTCCCTGTAATGAATTAAAGTAATTTATACAGGAAACACGTGTTCAACAGCATTTTTCTCACGCAGTTTACCGTCATCAGCGTAGGATTAAAATACTAGATAGCATCTTAATATTCTAACTCCTGTCTAACTGCGAATTTTATATTCATTCTATACTTGTCTGGCAACCCATCAATGGATCAGACTCATCAACTTCTCTATTATAACTCGAAGCAAGATATCAAGAAATGTGCCAATCTGGTATCTTGAAATTGCGCAAGTAGCACATCACTTCTCCAGAAGTCCAGATGATTTTCGTTCGATTTGCTTTCGATTCATCATTTTTTTCCCTTTGCTCGATTTGATTTTTTAAACCGTGAATTTTCCAAGAGGACCCCATGTTTACCCGAAGAACGTCGAAATAGACTTAAGCAATGCGCTAAAAAAAACTTGACTATAATTTAAAAAGCCCGCAAGCGTATTTTTGTTCATCTTCGCCTGTCAAGCTATAATTTCAGATGTGAGACCAATTTAATCGCAGGACGCGCAGATAATTTTTAATGATTGTTTGAAAAAAAAAGCTACCGTAAAGAAACAGATTAATGTAATCGACGCCCAGATTCGACCTTTAACAGTTTTATCCTCGTTTTTGTTTTTGTTTTACCTCGATTACGAAGTTCGCGAAATTTCGACCATGACGGACTTACCTGCAGCGACACCTGGTGGTCTTGGGCTGGAAAAAATACACATGACAGAAAGAGCAGCTATGATTGCAGAAAATCCGGACGGTGATGTTTACAAAAATGAGAGAGACTTGAAAAGTGTTCTTTTTAAGCAAGAGCAGGTATGTGAATCAATTCGGGATTTTTTTGNTGGTTCGAAGTGGGGACTGAAATTTGCAGTTTTTTGCGTGTATAGATGGCTGATGAAATCGCTCAGAAAACAGCCATGGTTTCGGATCCAGATCCGTTGGAATCCCTGAAAGATGAATACAGCGTAAAGGACAAGCGGATCCGGACGAGGATCAACGAATTATCGGTGAGTTTGATGTTTATCATGACGTGACTGATGAAAAATCAATTGGAAAATCACCACTATACATGACCAGATTGATGAATCCAAGTTTATTTTCTGGTCATTTCAAGGACTAAATTTTCCAACGAGACACCGAAGAAGAAGTCTAATTTATGTACTCCAAACAGTTGAATGTTCGCTAAATTTTTCACGTCAGATAGTTTTTCCAAATATATCTTTCAAAATACTCCGAAAATACTGTAAATCCTCGACTGAAAAAGTGGTATTTTTCCATCGTCAAAGAAATGAAAAATATAATGAACCTGATTTTTTCCGACCGAATTAGTGTTCGTGACATTTTTTAAATGAGATGCTTTTTCCGGCTATTAATATGCACGGGAAAGGAGGTCATAATAATCTCGCAATATGAATAACATTGTTGAAAGGAACTACTTAACGAGAATACGACTCCAGTGTATAAAGTGAAAGTCTTTTAGTGCTTGAGCCTTTGTCCTGTACTTTTAAGGCGTTGACTTACTCTTAGTTCCTGTCTCCTGGATCGCGTTTAAAATTTTTATTGGTCTGGTTTTATAGCTTGGTAAAGTTGTGAATTTGAAGATAAATTCGTAATTATGTTGCGAAAAACACAGTATTTGTCCGTGAATGCATTGACAAAAAACAAACTACAATGGGACTCGTACGTACAGCCGATTCAACTTAAGGACACTTGTAACTTTGAAAAAGTAAGCCCAACATCCAGACAATGTCTATAAAGATGCGAACACTTTCCCAACGTTTCTATAGGAAAAATTCCCGTATTTTAAATTTTGATTATATCTTGAACAAATTGAGCTATTTATATTCACAAGAATTATAAATAAATCATCACCATAAACAACGGGCTAATTGTGTGCTTACTTTTCCAAAGGTTTTTTTTTATTTCATAATGTGTGGACGGTATAGCTATATATAGAGTTGTTAATTTTCTTGAGCTCCTACTGATGTCAAAAGACCATATTCTGTTTGGTTTTCTTGTTCACAATTATTTTCTGCATTTTGAAGTTGAGAAAAACATTTTTATTCAAATTTTGAGGGACTTTCTTTCTGAATTTTGACGAATAACTGCAGGAGAACCGATTGAATATTGTTCCCATATTTAAGTCTGAAATGGGAGATTGTGATCCGACATACGGACACTTCAAAAAAGGGAAGATGCGGTCCGATAACCAATAACGTCCGTATCTCGATGCCCCACACGTTGCTGTATAAAAGCATAATGTGTGCAAGGTATAGCTAGAGTTGTTCATTTTCCTTGCTTCTTGAGCTACTTCTGATGTCAAAAGACCAGATTCTATTTGGTTTTCTTGTTCACAATTATTTTCTGGATTTTAAAGTTGAGAAAAGAATTTTCAATCAATTTTCGGGGGACTTTCTTCCAAAATTTTGAAGAATAACTGCAGGAGAAGTGGAGAACCGATTGAACATTGTTCCCATATTGAAGTCTAAAATGGGAGATCGTGATCCGACATACGGACACTTCAACAAAGTGACCATGCGTTTCGATAACCAATTACGTCCGTATCTAGAGGCCCAACACATTGCTGTGTTTACGCTGAATTTAATAATATTTTTCTTCCGAAGTGGGCGGCGTAAAGCAGCGACACCTTGGAACGCCTCCTCAAGGCAACCTTGAACTCACCCGTGTATATCTACATGTTATACGGAATTGACCTATGGAAGCGCGTCGTGTTTCGATTAATCATTTTTTTTTTCTGCTGCTTGATATTTTATTATAGACGCTCTACGGAACTTTGAGGAGGACCAGACCCGACGGGAACTCCTTTTACAGAGCATTTGCATTCGGGTACCTCGAGTCGCTGCGACACGACGTGGATGAATTGATGAATGCCCAGGACATCGTGAGACGAGCCAGGGAAGACCTGGTGTGTCTCGGATACCCGCTGTTTTCCTTCGAGATCTTCTACGACGTGGTGATGGTACAAGACTTCTCGTAGGCTGTGCCCTAGTGCTTTCTGCTGAACATAAGCAAGAAGTTAGTAGGCAACCATTCTGAACTGCGCGCTCAGTTGAAGTAATCCACTTCCAAGGCCTGCTATACTAGCGTCACCGAAAAAATCATAGTTCGGATTTTTTTTATTCTTCTATAATCGGAAAAATACCCGCAGATTCCGGATGAACGTGATGAAAACGGGACAAATATTCGAGCCTTTTATCTTAATTGACTTGAAGAGAACTTCCCATCATCAGAAAATATAGAATTAATTACGTGTTGCTCATTCGTTGTACTCGCGAATTAAAATTATTTGAGCCCAAAAATAATCCGAGAAGCCTTCTGCGTCATCTTTAAAACAGAGTTTTTTTTTCAATAAAATGCAGACCTAAATTTTTTAACTCAACAGTTATTCATCCCTTTGATTACGTTTCTTGAACATCCTTGAAGACCTTTCGGAGATAATCACGCACTAATTAAGGGATTGAATGCTGGTAAAAAAACGTGGAAGAAGAATGAATTCAATCATACCTGCATAATTTTATAGCTTTTGCCTAATTTACTTGACGATTAAAAGCAGCTGCATTTCAACATCCCTGATTGAGTATCTATTAAACTCAGAATACAATATTTCATTTTGAATATTATCCACTCAATCGTATCTGCCTCTAATCACAGGTTTTTTTCCTGTGAAAATCGTAGGCATGATTTTATGATATATTTTTCAATACGGTTCAATGATTATTTTTGCCTGTTTCTTTACCGGAGAAATTACTATATTCGATTTTCCGGCGCAGAATTTTTCATGATGGAGAATTGTATTTTTTTCGAATTCTCATGCATGTTCTTCTGTGAGTTTGAGGAATTTAAAATTATTCTAATAAATTATATGAGCAAATGCTTTTAAAAATCGAGATATTTTTACTTCCTCGCAAAATTGTGGAACTTCTCGGGCTTTAGTAATAACTGGCCTTTTTTGCAGGTGCGTTATAGGTGTTGAATAATACTAATAAAAAGTAATGGACTGTTTGAGAGTCTCAGGTTATTTTCTTCGAAAATGTCAAGTGGCAATTGAAGGTGGCGGGACTTTCCTGGAAATTAAGCTTGGTCAAATTTATTCTCACCCTTAAAGGGGATATATTAGGGAAATGTTCACGAAAGTTAATTGAAAAACGTTCGATCGAAAGGGGAAAAAATATATATTGGTGGGTCGGAATGCTCTCCAAGGCCAAGTACTGACGAGAATCGTGAGAGAACGGAATTCACATAAAGGTTGATTTACAANTACCATGTTCTGAAGAGCATCCGACACGGGATCACGAAAGACGACTTGTATTCGTTCTTCAATCATCCGTTGGTAAGACTTGACGCGCGAGTCAACTTCATTAGGTGAAGGTTCCGGACGATATGATACGTCACCGAAAAAAAATATATAATTAGGAATTTTTTTAAATTCTATAATCGGAAAAATACCCGCAGATTCCGGATGAACGTGATGAAAAACGGGACAAATATTCGAGCCTTTTATCTTATTTGACTTTAAGAGAACTTCCCATCATCAGAAAATATAGAATTAATTACGTGTTGCTCATTCGTTATACTCGCGAATTAAAATTATGTGAGCCCAAAAATAAACCGAGAAGCCTTCTGCGTCATCTTTAAAACAGAGTTTTTTTTTTCAATAAAATGCAGACTTCAATTTTTTTAACTCAACAGTTATTCATCCCTTTGATTACGTTTCTTGAACATCCTTGAAGGCCTTTCGGAGATAATCACGCACTAATTAAGGGATTGAATGCTGGTAAAAAACGTGGAAGAAGAATGAATTCAATCATACCTGCATAATTTTATAGCTTTTGCCTAATTTACTTGACGATTAAAAGCAGCTGCATTTCAACATCCCTGATTGAGTATCTATTAAACTCAGAATACAATATTTCATTTTGAATATTATCCACTCAATCGTATCTGCCTCTAATCACAGGTTTTTTTATTACTTGACGATTAAAAGCAGCTGCATTTCAACATCCCTGATTGAGTATCTATTAAACTCAGAATACAATATTTCATTTTGAATATTATCCACTCAATCGTATCTGCCTCTAATCACAGGTTTTTTTTTTTCCTGTGAAAATCGTAGGAATGATTTTATGATATATTTTTCAATACGGTTCAATGATTATTTTTGCCTGTTTCTTTGCCGGAGAAATTACTATATTCGATTTTCCGGCGAGAAATTTTTATGATGGAGAATTGTATTTTTTCCATTCTCATTTTTTTCTGTGAGTTTGAGGAATTTAAAATTATTTTAATTAATTATAAGAGCAAATGCTTTTAGTGGGATATTTTTTCTTCCTCGCAAAATTGTGGAACTTTTCGGGCTTCAGTATTAAACTGGTTAGGTGTTGAATAACACTCATGAAAAGTATAATGGACTGTTTGAGAGTCTCAGGTTATTTTCTTCGAGAATGTCAAGTGGCAATTGAAGGTGGGACTTTCCTGGAAATTATGCTTGGTCGAATTTATTCTCACCCTTAAAGGGGATATATTAGGGAAATGTTCACGAAAGTTAATTGAAAAACGTTCGATCGAAAGGGGAAAAAATATATATTGGTGGGTCGGAATGCTCTCCAAGGCCAAGTACTGACGAGAATCGTGAGAGAACGGAATTCACATAAAGGTTGATTTACAATTGATAGAATCGAACCTTGCAAAATAAAGAGTATATAGAGCAGGTTTATTTTATTTATTTTTCTTTTCGTGAGAATCGCGGCAGAACTCATTTTTAAGACACGTGCTACATTGATTCTGGCAGAATAATCGGGAAAAACTATTAAAAAAAACTGCGGATCGTCCGAATGTCTCTCAAGGTCAGAATCTAACCATAATATTCGATGCGTGAGAAAATCAATTTCGCGAGGATGGGATGGAATCGAGTAATTAATACCGAAATATCTGAATCCAGGTGAATAAATTTTACGGTACTGTATAAAGAAATCAACTGCTGCTCGTCCTTGTTTGACGAATCAAGAAATTTCATCCCGAATCATGAAGATCTGATCCCCATCATGAAGGCTCATATATTTGATTTTTGAAAATATTCCCAAAACTTCCGAAAAAAATGGGGGAAGAATTTCTTGGCGCATTTCGCTTCTTTTTGATGTTTTGCCATCATAAAAATATAAATTGATCTTATGTATTCACGAAAAATTTAATTATTTTTTTAATGTAATTAATCCAATTGAAATTTATTGTGATTTGTGAGCAAGATTCCTGCTGAACTTCGCGTAAATTTGAAACTTTTTGCTCAAATGAAAAACACGAGAGATTCAGATACGTGTCTTTCCAAATGTAAATTATACCCAAAGCCAAACGTTTTTTACTATGGTTATTGAAAAAGGCCTTGCCAAATTTTTTAAACTTTTTGATGCAGCATTTAATGGCAATATATATGAAAGAAATAAGCTAAAAATGATGTAATACACTTGATTGATATGAAATGGGATCTGAGAGATCAGATTAAGTTTCCATTGTTACTTTTATAATTAAAACCTCTTTTGTCTAAATTTCTTTTAACTGAACTTTTTTTACCTGAATTTTTTTTTCTCGGAGGCACTTATTTATAGAATTTTCTGAGAAAGTGATGTTTCTTCGAAATCCTGCATCGAACAAGAAAAAGCCTGTGTGAAAAGTTTTGAAATTGGAAAAGTTTCGCTTTCATAGACTTCGAAATTCAATTCCTCGAGAATGATGCGTTGCTTTCTAAAAAAAAAAAAAAGATTTCAGATTCGATCGTGGCTTACTTGCGATTGATCACAGCTGCTCACATAAAACTGGATTCCGAGTATTACACGAGTTTCTACAAATGGGACAAGAAAACCCTGGACGCGTTTTGTGCCCGGGAAGTCGAACCCATGAACATTGAGGCCGACGACATTCAAATGACTGCACTTGCTGTCAGGTACGTGGCTTCAATTTTCCCCATCATCTTTTTTTATAATAATAAATATTTATTGATTGAAATTTTTCTTGGGAAAAAATATAGATTTGGGATTGCGATAAGAGTGGAATATTTGGAGCAGCAACGTGTAGTGGAGCAAACTTGGGGGAAGCCCATGGAAAGGGTTCGGATCCGTCGGGACTTCGTCGAAGGCTGGGATCCGAGGATTCATCTTTTATGTCGACCAGGACAATTTGACATTTTATACAAACCCAGCAGGGACAAACACTCTGGATCAGCGACACCCTGAATCCCAATTTCTTTTTCTTTCTTCTCAATAACTTAATAAATAAATAAATAAATAAAAAGCACAGAACGAACAACAGCCAACATTTTCTTTCATTTCTCCTCTCGGCACATTGAGAACAATAAATAGTAACTTTTTGAGAATGGAATGCCTGTGTGGATGACGCGAGGTAACTTGACATTGCTAAAAAATATTGCGAATTCGACGCAGAAATGTTGGCAGCGAACTCTTTTTTTTTATAAATGAAATTTCTAACGTTCTCACAGCAGATGTCAACACGTATATGATCATAAATTCCG